CACCAGAGGGTGGACGCCCGTGGGGAGAGCCGGCCCCCCGCCTCGCCCCCCCGCCAGCACTCAATCTTGCCCTCCCTCGGCAAAGCAGACCCCCCCGCCCGCCCACCGGGACAGGCTGGAAACCTCCCTTTGCCCTTCTCCCGACTACCTAGGAACTAAAGGTCTAGGATTAATAAACAGCAATAAACAGACTGGGAAATCATCTTCCAGCATGTGCGAGTGTACCAGGAAGCCAAACCTTGCATCTGGCACCGTTCACAGCAGTATCACGAATATTATTAGCAATAGACCTAGCCATCCTAACGTTATATTTATATATACAAAAATAGATCCACAGAACTCTACGTGAAGAGGCGGCTGAGGGGAGGCGACGGAGGAGCCCTGGGTGGCGGGGTCGCGGAGGAAGCCGCGGGACGCGCTGCATATATTTCTCCAGGGGAGCCGTTCGCTTTCCTCTGCGCTCACCCGCCTCGGCGGAGGGACGGGTGGGCAGAGCCGAGCACGGGGACACCGTCCCGGCTCCAAACTCCCCCGGCCGATCGGCGGGGTTCGCACCGAGAGCTGGCACCGGGCGCTTGCAAGCGGAGATGGGGCTGAGCCCAGGACCAGGAGGAGCTGCCCCCACCTGCAGCGACGGGGCGGGCTTATTATCATCCCAGCAAGCAAACCGCAAAGCACTGACCCCCGTTCGGGTTCCCTTCTGGTCTGCAGATGGCCCAGCCCCAGGGCTTGGGTCAGACCCATCTGCGGTTTGCTGCCGTTGCAGAACACCCCGGGCAGTGCCAGCAGGGCTGGCGTGGTGCTGGGGGCGGTGTGGCACGCCGGCGGGCCAAGGAAAGCGAGGTGAGGACCCAAAGGCAACTTCTGCAGGGAGGGAAGATCGGGCTCCTGTCTCTCGACACCCCCTTCTGCCCTCGGTTTCCCTCCAGCCCAAAGCAGGAGGTGCGGAAGGTCCCCCTGGACCGGTGCCGATCCCAGGGCGAGTGGCAGCCGGTGATGCCTGGGCTTGGGGCATTTGTTTTTAAAGTGAATTCAGTGCTGGTGGAAGGTACCAGATTGGGGCTCGAGCGCAGGGCCGGCGCCTGGGGCAGCGGCTCGGTGGTGGGACGGAGCCGGGTGGCAGCTCCCGTCCCGCCCGGGTTCGCGCTCCACAGGCGGCCCTTCAAGGCATCGAGAAATGAATGGCAACTTCAGACCAGCTTCTTGTTCTCAGCCAAATCCCAGAGGGGCCCTTTCCCTCGCTGCAGTCGGGCAGAAGCGAGTGGGCTGGGCTGCCTCCGATAGCTCCCTCCCCTGCCAGAAGGTTTTCTAAAGCTTCCCACACCTTCCCTTCCTCTTTGAGACAGAAAAATACGACGCCACCTCATTTTGAAGCTCGCTTGCTTCTCCCAGCGGCTTCCAAGCCCAGAGGGAAGCCACTGCCACCAGTGGGACCCAGCGGCACCCCAGCCCCTGGGGGAAAGCGGCCCTACGGCCACGCGGGAGGCGAGAGGCCACCCACGGAAAGTGCTGGAGAGAGATACGGAGAGGGGAAAGGCGGTCTGGCTCCTGGAGGACTCTTGCGCAGGGGATGCGTCGACCTGCCTCCTCCCCGCATCGGGAAGGGGCGCACCATGGGGCAGTGGCAGCTCCTAAAACCCTCTGAGAGCAGAGTCCCGAGGACCCCCCGGGTCACCCTTCGCCGCGGGGCAGGGCCAGGGGGGGCCCCCACAGCTCCCTC